TGACAAATTCCAATCATCGCATGGTTGTATTGACCTGGACCAAATCGGAGGGTTACACGTCATACCATCGCATTGTAAGTGGATAACTTTAAAATTTAACTTTAAATTCAATTCTCACTTGTACATTTCAGCACCACAAGAAAAATATTAATAATGTGAACCGTGTAGGTAGTAATATCTTCAATCTGTAAATAAATATACATAACAATAAAATATTATATACTACTAATAGTAGTCTACTATACATACGTACACGTTTAGCGTACTCACGTCAACCTTCGCACATCTCTCTTATCTCGCAAATTAAGCATAGCAACATAAGTTGAGAAGTTTTTCAAAAATGTGCAAAAATTCACAAAAATTTTGCTTGAAAACAATGGGATTTTTTCCCGAATTTACTCAGCAATTAAACATGTGCTTATTCTACAAACTCATCCTCACCATCACCAGCGAGCCAAATTACAGAAATCCATCGAAACAACATCAAAACAACATCAAGTTGAGCTCGCGCTGGGAATTGCCCGAAAAATCGTGCATTTTTGCGAACTTGCGGCGCCCATAACGTGCTGAAATTTGCGCATCTGCCCAAGTGCCGAACCAAATGTTGTTTGTAAAGACTTGCTCTTTCAAACTAATAAGGTCAAAAAATTATCTGGGCTGAACATGGTTTGCGCCTCCATTGTGAGTGATCTGCTTTGTACATAAATGCGTATGGTAAAGGAAATACGATAGGTGTAATGTGTATAGTTCCAGAAGATCTCTGAACCACTGAATGACTTGGGCATAATTCGGGTATAGCCAAGCTACATTAATTATTAGCTTCCAAACATTATAAAATTTTTAAAGTGGAAAAACAAAACTTCTCAAAATAAGTTTTCTCATAGATGGCTTTTGTAATTATGTCTGCTTTAAGTTTCTTATTTTTTAAAATAAAGTCGGATTTATTTGTAAGAAATGTGGGTTCCTGTTCAAGAGAAGGATGCACTCTTAAAAACAAACCGAACCTTCCGAATGGTGTGCATGTGTGACTCATCGCGCGGTGATGTAATTTGTCTTAGCTAATGGGCATGAACGATTAACACCGGATTTTAAAGAGTGCTGAGTATGTATACTCCATCCTTCCATCGAACAGTGTCGAAAACTTTATCAAGTTTTAAGTGGGTAAGAGAAAGAGAAAAGTACTTAATCCTGAAAAGTTTATCATCAAATGGCATCCTAATCACCTAGCGACATTTGAAATTATACGGCATGTTGCGAAATATGTACTTATGCACCGCTATTTAGTAATTACATATGAATTCAGACATCCGGATAATATGCTCATATTTAAATAATGATAGATGATTAACTAGATGAAAGGGAAAAAAAACTATTTACGACAATTTTATTTTTTATTTTTTACGGATGTCTTTATAATTAATGGCATTCGAAATATTGCCAAAGAGGTTCATCGTTTTCCACTAAAACTCCCGTGTAATTCAAATTAGTCCAACAGAATTAAATGGGACAATATTTATCTTTCAAGCGGTGGACAATTTATCTTTAATGTGATAACGATGTAAGAAAATTGGCAAATGTGCATACATACATATTTATATGTAGAACACAGTTACACGCTTTCTTCATAAAGATTCATGTAAAATTCTAGCAAATAACGAACGCTTTCTTATATATTTAAAAATTATCATGGCTCAAATACAAACTCAAATTTGTCCCTTGTTTTTAAATTACTTTACCCATTTCGTGTCCAACGGAATCTCCGAGTTAAATCCGGTCGTTCATACAAATCCAATTTCTCCGCAAACCATTATCCACTACGAATTAGTACTTAACAGTACCGACTTAAATTTGTACTTTGATTTCCCCTCAAAATTTAAAACTGGGATCGACTTTCTCGTATTTAGAATAGAAAATACGAAAGACATATCAAACGTCGTCATGTTTTTAAGCCGCATTTCCGTATCCAGACACAATCCGGACTATGTCATTTTTCAAATGTCACAAGTTTCCGAATTTCATGACGAAACTTCAAGAAAGTTTTTCAAAATTTTATACAAATTTGGAATAACTTCTAAATATCTGGTGCATTTAACAAACCAAGAATCACTTCATCTCCTTAATTTAATCAATTCACAAACGTTACTTCCGGTAAAAGACGACAACCCAGACTCCCTAGATGTCCTGTGGTTCTCGTCACATCAAAATTTGCAAGAATATGACGTCCATTGTGCCGCGTATGAGGCAGATTTCGTTCTCGATGAATTAAGCGATCGTCTAAATTTTAGTTGCACAAATGACATAAATTCACCAGATAATTTTGGAGCGTTGAAAAGATCACATTTGGCGGTGGACGAAATTGGTTTAAAATTTGGGGATCCCTATTTAATACAAAAATGGGTGTGGAGTCCCTACGCGGCGCATTTGGATTTTTTCGACTTCACCGTGTTCGCCCCTCGTGACGAAGAGTTGCAACGGATGACTGTTTTACTTCGACCGTTTCAAACACATGTATGTATGGGTACCTGTTCACATTCATTTATTCAATACATAGTAGAGAATGAATAAATTATTCATTTATTATTCAGCTATTTAATTCATGAATAATTAATGAATCTTTTCTTCGAAATTTTTGAAGTTTGAATGAATATTGAATAAATATTTATTCATTTCATATTCATGAGGAATTGCTACATATGTAGTAATTTTATTCATTATTAATTTTTTCATTCAATAACTGATGAGATAAAATGAATAAGTACTTGTTTTCAAATTTTGAATAAACGAGCAATGATTAGGGTTGCCGCGGGTAGCGAAAATGCTACCCGTTACCCGACCCGCTACCCGCAGCACAACTACCCGTACCCGCACGGGTACCCGTGCGGGTACCCGTTACCCGCTACCCGTTATGAGAATTAGGTTAAAAACTAACCAAACTTCAGAATAAATATGATTTGATCAATTATTTGTTCATTTGGGTTGATATGTACTTTAAGATAATGCTATGCAAGTAACGCATGCCATAATTTGCTCGTAAATATCACTCGTTATTTTTGAAACCAACAATTTTGGCTTGCATTGAATCGTTTTTCAAGCTAAACCGATTTATGCACATATATCAAAAAATTGAGCCAAAAAATAGGAATTACATGACACTTATTTTTCCGTTGAATGACCCGTTTAATGGAAACTATTGGGATGGGATAGAGAGTTCAAAGTCCACCATGGTATTTGTTTAATGGAGGAAAAAATACGGAACATTTACTTGAAAATTAAACTTTGCCGCCGATATTTTTCTTCGAAGGGGCCGTTCAACGGAAAGATAAGTGTCACGCGATTCCTAATTTGTGGCCTGAATTTTTTATATACTCGCTGGGCAATCTTGGTATGGCTTGAAAAAGGTTCAATTTTTAGTTTGATTTTTTCAAATTTTGATTTGAATTAAGTTTTCATTCGAAAATATTATCTACAAATAAATTTTTTGCTTTGAATCGGATTCAGGTTTTTCACCTTCGAACATGTTAAAATCTCGTCAGTCTTACATACATAAATACACACAAATACAAGTCAAATTATTACTATATTTAGAGCAGGCAAACTATGCTTGAGAAACAATAATTGCTCCGCAGTTTCTGGACGTCAAATATATTTGAGGCTAGCATAGGCTTCTGTGGCTTCCGAAAAGAGACTCCGGCTATATACGTTTGTTGCTGACAAATGACAAATTTTGAAATGGAAAAATAATAAATTGACGCTTTTGTTGGTAAATGGACTAACTAGCTGCTAACTTTCTTTGTGAACTGAGTTTTGACGAAAATTAAATAAAAACTGAACTACCCGTTACCCGTGCGGGTAGTTCTCGCTACCCGCAGATAACGGGTACCCGCAAGAATCGTGCGGGTATGCGGGTAACGGGTACCCGACCCGTTACCCGCGGCAACCCTAGCAATGATTGAAGAATTTTTTGTTCAATTTTTAAATTGAATGAATTTTGAATGAAGAAATATTTTTTGAATAGGTATGGATAGCAGTGGGTATCCTAATAATTGAAATGGGCGGAATTGTTTTTTGGGAAACTGGTGGTTCAAACGACAACATTCGAACGTTTCTGGCCAGTATTTTTTGGACAATCGGCATAGTCTTGGAAGAAACTGAGGGGGCCGTTTCAAAAAAGCTGGTCAAATTTAGGAACAAGGGAATCGTATCGTTCGTAATTGCAACATTTTTGGTCTGCAGTATCGTTCTAACATTAAGTTATAAGGGTTCGATAAATTCATTTTTAACGAGTGTAAAACCTCCGGAACATTTACCGCGAACTTTTGAATCGCTTGTGGTCTCTGGGATAAAAACGTTTTCCGAACAAAAGCAGCTAAAGAGTGTAGTTTTGTATGAAATATGGAAAAATCAGTACTCATTGAGGAGATTGATTGAGAGGTTTAACGATTCTGTGAGAATCATGAAGATTTCTGAGGTTCATGGTTTAATTGGACGCTATAACGATGCTAAGGTAATCTAAAAACGTTTCAGATTTTGTACTTAACATTTTCAAATATAATTAAGAAAAAATTCAACAATGGGCGTTGCAAAGAAAACTTTCGCATACATCTGTACATATGTATGAATGTGCATAGTTGGAAAATGTGCAAATTCTTTCTGAATTTTAACACCTTTATCGTGCACATAAATAAGTATGCACGCTTTTAGGTAGGTACCAGACACATGAGACACATGATCTGCATATTTCCATATGTACATATCTTTGTAATATGTTTTAACGGCATGATAAACCGCACGTGTTGTGTTCCGTATACTAATTGACAACTTTCATCATCGTTTGCTTCTTCGCATTCGTTTGACAGATTTAAGACTTTGGTTTCTAGTGGTGTGATTTTAATTGCCAGTGCGTGGAAATGGAAAACACCCACTTGAACCTGCCACTTGTAACACGCGAGTTTTGTCCCAATCAAACTCAATTGAATCATAACAGTTGGATTTTCACATAAATAAATACGATACGAACAGAAATCAGTAGTCTATCAGTCCACACCTTCGCACAAATAAACTCCACACCTTCCAGTTCGGGAATTTGTCAACCTTCTCAAAATGAAGACATTGTTCGGAATTTTTGCTACTTTTGCAGTTATGGCCGCAGTATCAGGTATGTACCTACTTAAAAAATTAATTTACATATCCGAAGATTTGATTGCTACATATTTTATCAAATTTTACTTAGCATACGAAATTGTTGGAGGCAGTAAAATCGTTGATCCTGTCGAATTTGTGGGAATCTCAGGGTCCAAAATTTACCTAAGAGATCAAAGCATCAGTGTAAGTATTTTTTATATGTATCAATGCATAATACAATTTTGAAATTTCGGCATCGGTAATATCTTAAATATTGTAGGGAATGGATTTTGCTGGATATGTAGACTTTTGTCAGAAGAATGGATTAAGAACTGCAAGCATTTTATCAGCCGCAGAACACGAAGTTGTCCGATCATACATAAATGCAAATAACTGTGAGAGAAAAAAAATTCAAGTGCAATTACATATGTATGTATTTATGTAAAATTGCATTTTTCTGACAAACAACTACTTTTATCTCAATTTAGTCCGAAATATGTGGATAGGAGCTTGGGACATTAATCATGAGGGGATTTATACCTGGATTGAGACAGAGAAAGAGATGGAATACTCTGACTGGGGTCGAGACTGGATTATTGGACACGATCGACCAACCTATAATTGTGCCTTTATCGGATCAAGGTCCGGTGGGGCTAAATTTTATGACTCGCCTTGCACTACTTCGTGGTTTGTGCCGCTTTGCGAAGCAAGATTAGTAGTGTAACATGAATTGTGTCCTTCAATCCTGTAAAGTATTATTGTAAATGTGCATGTCCATAAGTAGCTAATAAATCAATAATTATAAATAGTTGAAATATCTGCAAAAATACAATGCAATTTTTACATATCTCATCGTAACTTACTTAACGCTAGTGTTTCATCCATTTCATCTACATATAAAATATGAAAATTGTGAGGATAGTGATGGTTAGGGTTGGTCTTCCAATCTAATCCCATCTGACCCAACCATTAGCATCCGATCCGGAAATCGATTCGAAATTCAGAAAGTTACAGCGTTTCGAAATATCCGTTTTTGGCTGAAAATTTATTTTAAAATTCTACCACAGGCGATCAAGAAAATGCAAAAATATGGTCGGCTTATTTCTGAACGTAAACAATTTCAAACTAATCCGGTCGCAATCGGAGAAAACCACTTCATTCCTGCGGATTGTTAGATGTTAGACTTTTACTTTGACACTTGTTTCACCCCTTCGTTACATGCGCTTGTACGGTTTATTTAACACGCAATTTAAATAAGACACTTTGTTTCTTTCAGCTACTTCAAATCCTCAATTTCACCCATCCCCTCCCCTTCGCCGTTATGGAACGATCCCGCTTTCTCCACCTGTTTACCTCCTTGATGAATTTGCACTCTTCTTATTTCATCATCCCGAACCGGGACGCGACCATGGCAACGATATTCACACGCCATCCATGGCACGGCTGGAGGAACTTTCTCTTCCCTATTTTCACTTTCTATCTGCAGGGATACCAAGAGTCCGGCATACTTAACAAACACCTCGAAAATAACATCATTAAAGAAAACGTATTCATTTTTAGTCGACTTATCAAGGAACCAGTTCAGGCAACAAATTATTTCGCTTTCTTTGCTCTTTGTGGTGGAAGGAGGGAAATAATTAATGAGAACAATAGGTTTTACGCGATGGGGATAAATGCCTTTTTTATGACTGGAGTTGTTTGTGGGGTAATCTTAATTAGTGGGTTTGGCGTGTTTTGTTTGGAATATTGGTACGATTCGGGGAGGACGAGGATAATGAAGTTTTGAGAAATATGTAAATATGTAGAGTGCATGACTTATGTATCTTTACATATGTATGTAAATACAATGACACTTCCTAGACTTATTAAACTGGTCGTGGATATTTTGTATCAGTTCGCCTCACACGTTACACAGCCACATATATGTACAAAATGTGTTTGTTGGATAGTGCATCTATTATGTTACATAACCTATGTATATGCAAAATAAATACACCACTATGAATGGTTATTAAATTTACTTAATCTCACGATCGCGCCAATATGTATGTATGTAATGTCCAGCGAGCGGATATGTACATGTTTATCTACCTAGTAGGGCCAATTGTAATGACCAAAGGCCCCAAACAAATTAGTAGGAGTTAAGTTAGACAGTTTTGCTATTGAATTGCAAATTTATTGAATTGCTCATGCAATTGTCGATCAGAAGCCATGTTCGGAATTTTTTTGTGACCCAAGGTGCCAGCATGACAGATGGGCCAAACCGGCGTGTTACAATTTTTCAGCAACATTTCAGCAACAAAAAAATCCGGCATTTTTCAATTGGTCCATAAAAATCGGAACTGATCGCAAGATGGGCGACTGTACCAAAAAATGCTACACTGACACTGGCAGCGTCGACTACCGCAAAAGCAGTGGAAGGAGACGGTCAAAAGGTGACCAAAATTCACCAAGGCGCGAAAAAATGGATTCGACCAAATTCATGCCGAGCGCTAAGAACAAATGAACGGATGAAGTAAAAGTAAGTCCAAGGCCCTTAAGTATAACCTTGGACTTATGTCTTCAAGATATGAGGAGAAACACTTCCTAACTGCACGCCAAGTAAAAGCAGACCCACCAGAACCCGGGAGCTGATCATGAAAAATGGAAACGAATATTTTTAACACATGATTCCACGTTTGTGGGTGAGGCCAAATAAAATAGCAAAAATACCGTTTCTACATCCCACCGGTTTTGACTATTTGTAAAAATTTTAAAAATGTTCATCGTACCCACCATATTCGTTTTATGATTTTTTTATTGGACAAAAGTTGGATTTGGTCGAAAAAGTGATTTTTCTTCCTCTAGGGGTGAAATTTCGTGTCGAAAAATATTTTTTGGAAGTTATCGAGCGAATGGTAGAACCCATGGACTACACCATATTAAAAAATATCTACTAGATGTTCAAGCAGGGCTCAGGTCCTCCTCATAGGCCAAAATAGTAAAGAGGGGGTTGAATTCCAAAACTCCCCGTTTTGACCCCGTTTCGGATGAAGACCAAAATTCACTGTCGCCGAACCTCAACCTTCTGTAATATGACATGTGGTCCAAACTGAAGCTAGATACATGTGCTAAACCACATACAAGTTTGGAATCCAAGAAAAAATTTATCGCTTAGAAATGAAACGAATAACCCTTGGAATGAGTGCGTACCGCGAGTGAGATGTGGATAACAAGACTTGTGGCTTCGAAATCAGGAAATTTCGAAAACTGTTTGGTATAACTTGTAGGGAATTTACTAGGCTTTCTCGTGATATCGTTATTATTTCAAAATTAAATAAACTGAGTCCGTTACATTAATTTGTGTATTAGTCATTACAATTGGGCCTACCAGGTATGCACAAAAAGGCTGTAATATGCATCCAAGATTTATTTTAGAACAATTTCCACACTGCTGCATAATTATGAAATTATTTCTTAGAGTTCAAATTGATTTTGTGATAAAAATAGTTAGATTGGATATGAAGAACATGTGTTTGCCTTACTAAATAGTGTAATATAAATATATTTCTAATATTTAAATCGAGCATAATTTCACCTTCCTCAGCATCTGAGATATTGTGAAGTATTTATGTATATCCATATTTGTGTATGTGTGCATGTGTTCATACTTACAAAATCATGATAAAAGCATCCAAATTATTAGTTTATCACTTATGCTGATCACACAAATTACTAATTATTTAGGTTGAAAGAGATAATGAAATGTGGGTGGATTTAGTCCCAAAACTGTTACTTGCTACCTCACTCAGTCTCTTCCTATTTGTCCTCGATCACGGTCTCTAAAAACACTTCCAAAAAACGTTATTAAAATGGATCCGGTTGGGACACAAATCCCAAAGGGAATATTAAGTATTATTATTCCCCAGGCCAAAGATGAAATTCGTGCTGCGGCTTATCCCCAAGTTAAGTTTACTTCAGGTGAATGCATTGTGGGTGGATTCACATTTTCCTTTGAAGCAGGCTTCCAAAATTTAGTTAATAACTATGTAAACTTGAAGCTTAATGTTAAAGGTAAGGAAAATATTTTGTGTTTTTGATCCTATTGTAATTTACAATTTGTAAAGTACAGGGTGGTTAAAATGTCACGCCACAATGGAAAATTTTTCAACGGGAAAAGTCCCTAAATTTCCATTAGTTACAAGATTTGGGATTGAGATTTTTATAAATTATTATCAAAACTGATGACAAAATTCTTAAAATGTTGCATTTTAGTGACAGAATTTCGGTAACTAATGGAAATTTATGGATTTTTCCCATCGAAAAGTTTTCCATTGTAGCGTGACATTTTAACCACCCTGTATAAAAACAATATTTGGCATGCTTTTAAAAATGTAGTCGTGGATACGCAACTCGCTCCAGCCAGGGGCGGAGGACGTCATGGAGGCTTCCAGGTGCATTTTTACGTCGCATCAACACAACTCCCACTCCCAGGAGGATTTCTTCAAAACGGAGGTATTATTTTCCTCTCTATAAATCCGTATCAGAGCTCGGCGGATATCGTGTGAAAACCTCCAAATATCTGGGTCAGTATCCATCTCTGTGCCAACATCTCGCCCTCCAACCTCCACCCTCCAATATCCATCCTAAAATCTCACCCTCCAACCTTCACCCTCCAATATCCATCCAAAAATCTCACCCTCCAACCTCCACCCTCCAATATACATCCCAAAATCTCACCCTCCTACCTCCACCCTGCAATATCCACGAAAAAGTCTTGCCCTCCAATCTCCAAGCCTCCAATGTCCATGAAATCCGCCGAACTCTGATTCGTATTAATTCTCATATAACCGGAACTTATCTTCACATCTCTTTCGCCGACCAAATTGTTAATTTTATAAGGTAATATTCGAATTTGCAGGCGCAATGATCCTTAACTGCGGTGAAGGAACCCTGGAAAGGACGGATTGGCAACTTGACCTCCCTGGATCACTCAATTTTGCAGATGCTTACCAAGTAGGAATGATGCTAGATGCAACTGGAGCAATCGTGATCATGGTTGAAATAATCGCATTAAATAGAAATTGATGAAGAAATGGTAAGATTTAAACCTAATTTGTGCTCATTGTGTATATAATATTTATTTATAACGATATTTATTCTATATATTTTTTTACAGAAATCGTACTACCCACACCTACCTACACATCTTCATGGTCACAGCCTCTCTACTAAATAAAACTCTAGTATATCGATAACATGATATATAAATACTGTGCTTACTTAAGTCAAACTCGTTTCGTTCGTAATTCGTTTCTAATGGATTATTTATAATTTTTTGTAACATAAAATAAACATAAAAATGTGTGTGCTAAGAATAGATTGTGACTGACGCATATCAAAATTAAAATACTTAACAAAATATTTGAACTGGTAGTTGTTCCTTTGTAATTGCAATGTCAATCTTGTCCAATATATTTTGCGGAAACTATTTAAATTTGCATAAAAATTTACCAATATAATTAACTGTTCTCGTATCATAAATTCACAATTCGTATACATTTATGCACGTACCTGGAAATACTTTATCTCAATCCTCTTCCACCTTTGTGCCATTTTCTTTATCCCGGCCACAAACACATTAACTTTTTCCTCGTCGTTAAAATTGTTTGTAAAATCCAAGTCCACGCGTTCATGAAGGTGAAGACTATATGCATGAGAAGGAAAAAGGCTGTACGGTTGAAGAAAAAAGGTGAATGGTGTGGTCAGTCGTGTCGCTTTGAAAACTAGTAATTCAGGCGGACGAGAATTAACATCCTTTTCTAGGTCAATATCCTTCAAATTATTGCAAATTTCAATAAAATTTTCGCACAGCCAGACATTGATGATGACACGGTTGAAATTGAGATGAGCCACGAAGTCGCTCAATTTTTCCGATTTTGTTAAATCGTGCCTATCATATCGTGCCGCTCGGCAAAAAAAATCGACAGTTTCCAGATTTTTGAATGCGGAAAAGATTTCAAAATATTTAAAATTCGTGACTCCTCTAGGACACATAGTTGTTATCAGATTTGAGAATAATTTTAACTTTTTGATTCGCCCATGCCCATGCTTCTCCGTGTTAAAGTGTTGAATATAATAACTGTTGTAGCAATCTGTCCCAAATTCCAGCAATTTCGGAAATTTTTCAGAAAGCGTGAGCAGTTCTTCGCTTGGCATATAGGATCTCATTAGATTGAGGCGGGAAAGATTTGGAAGTGGCGGGATTGGAAAGTAGCAATCAAACCCGATCAATTCCAAGCTTTCCAAAGTGTCTCGAACTTCGCCCACGGAACGATCGAGACAGGATGAGCACGCTCTTTTCAAGCAAGTGCGGCCAAATATTGCAAAAATTGAAATACCCTTCACCTTCTTGTGATAAGCTTTAGTTAAACGTGGGTTGAAATTGACTTTTAAACTTTCTATATTTGGAGAAGAGTCAATTATTTGCTGGATGATGGGCTGTGTTCTTTCATAAAAGCGTGGCTCGTGGGTGCGAAGATTACCCTCAATTTTTTTAAGTTTGCGTAAAACAGGACATTTTGTTTCTTTCAAGGGACCTTCTTTATAGTAATGACATGGTTCTGGAAAAAATGAGATGGATTCAATGTTGGGGCAGAAGTCCGACTTTAATGCTGCAAAAGGAAATTTACCAGATCAGGAATTTTAACAAATCTAAGTAATTTGGAGACAAATCGTCACCTGCGGAGGTAGTATCTTTGAGTAATGATTATGTAGGAAGACGTTTTGTCACTAACAACTAATGAAAACAAGTCACAAACTTACATAAAACAGGAGTGTAGTCGCTATATACCAAAAATGGAAAAAATGATGACAAGATTTTTGAGGTGAAAGTACTGATTTTTTTAATATTGACGTTACGTGAGTTTTTAACTTATTTCCCCTCGCTGACAAAACTTCTCTTTAATCATTGCCAAAAAATGAAGCATTATGCAGCATCTTCCAGGGGTGATAATTTGTATCCAAATCATTTAGAGTGTTATACATATTTAACAAAATCGCTATACACACATACCTTTCGCGAAAGAAAGTAAATGAGACTCTCCTATCTTCGCATAAGTCACAAATTGTCCAATGTTTAAGGACAAAATAACGCCATATAATACGTCGCTAATTGTCCTATATTCATTATCAGCAAGACGCATCCACGTGTAGGTTCTGCCTGCGGCAGGGTCAACACCGTCGGTTGAAACCCCATGATAAGTTCCCACTCCGATTGATGAGAGTAGAAGGACATCTGAGATGTTGGCTAAATCAGTGACATTTGTTGGATCCAGGTACAGCTTTTGGCTAAAGTATTTCAGTGACGTATTTTTCCAATGGGTAGACACGAGTCGGATGGTTTTCAAGTCTTGGGAGGAAAGGAAGGAAAATATATTCTCCAAAATCTACAAATTTGAAAAATTGTGTAGGAACTTGGGACGTAATGTATTAAGTTGTTTAAACACGTGTTTAAATAACTTACTACTTCAGTTTGTATATTACTACATCTGTATTCTGCCATCTTGCTGGGTGTCGTGAGCGATAATATGAACTTATGTAGGTGGATATGTAGATAAATGTGCAAGCAAAAGTGGAATGAGTTCTTGTAACAATGGTAAATAAAATGCAGGCGAAAGTTAACTTTTTTGTATTCAGAATGAGAGAAGTGCCAGTGGCCCTTCAGGAGTTGAATTTAATTTTAGAATACACTTTTAACCCTTCCTTGAACCATGGACTTCAGGAAGGTGTGTATTTTTTAAGCTAAAAATAACGGGCAATTCGTAAATATTCGTGACCACCCTACGCTCAGTACGTGGCGTGAAATAAAAAAAATGACGTTAAGTTAAGTGTTATGAAATGAGAATGGAAACATTCGATAAAAACTCATAATGACCGATTTTTGGAATGAAAATTTTCCATTGAACAGGTATGCGTATTCCTAAATCTCATTTCGTTTCCTTGAATGATCACGCTACTTTTTATCAATCTACGATAACGATCGTGATAATTCACGATAACGATCGTGATAATTCACGATAAATAAAAGATATTTCAGTTTCCATTACCATTTTTTACGATTTCGACTCTTAAATTTTCCAACTGCGAAAATTATGGTGACATAAATAATTCCGCTGCATATGTAAGTTAGCCCACTTTAATTACGATAACAAGTAATAAATGTATTTATTAGCTTGGCACGCAATATTTTCAAATATGGTTCCGACCAAGATATCTGGTAGTAACTTGACTAACATTGAATCTGATATCTGGTCAATGTTAATCAAGTTACCATCAGATATCTGTTCGGAAACATATTTTCAATAAATTATTTCTCAAATACGACTGAACACTAATAAATGTCCCGTCTGTAGATATCTTAACGAATATTGTGTAAAGATCCTGTTTAATATTAATTAGTTTAAAAAACTAGCAACCTAGGTTTAAGAATGTATGTTTGGAACAATTTACCCTATTACTGATAGATATTTACAGATATGTAAAAACCACCTCCGAATTATGTAAATGTTTTCAAAGTTGTATATTTTTAAGCATGAAAGCTTTTTCTCTTGCTGCAACCAAACATTATTAAACGCTACAAAATTTTTGTTAACTGGGTACATTTTAAATATTATTTCTATATTGAACCATATTACATAAGTAATAGTAACATGTATTTCTACATATCGTAGTTGAAGCTGCCAAAAGGGCCTTCTCCATTTTGTGTCAATTGACACAAAATGGAGAAGGCCCTTTTGGCAGCTTCAACTACGATATGTATGTAAATGCAATCTTTTTTTTGGAAATTTGCATTTTTTTCTTCAATGATAAAAACTTACAAAACCTTAGCCATACTTATTTAAACACAACACGCACAATCAAGTACAAAAACGACTTATTGGGTTCTTATGTATATGTAGAAATAAAGCAAGAATTACATACGCCATGCCGATACGGAGTAGCGTAAAAAAGTGGTGAAAACTATAAAATTACAAAACTCCAAATCGATAATTTATTTCCTACGTGACCATTGAAAGATTTGGCATTAAATTGAACTATATTTGAGTCATAAACAATCAATTAAATAATATGCTAATTGAAAAATGAAGTTTTGTGCGTAAAAATAATTTACACATTTCCCTATGTGAATTCAATTCAGTGTTGAAGTTTTCACCCTGTAATGCATACGTGTCAATAACGGTTCACACCTACATACTTTCCGTATAAAAATTGTCGTCAGAGGGGAAAAAAGGATGGCAGGAAAATATCTAAATTTATTTATCTTGAACTTTCTCCTAGTTTTTACAAAATTTGCGGCATGTTCTTCTTTCCAAAAAATGGGTGGATTTATAGTTAACCTTGTCCGTACTCGGTCACCTGAGTGTTCTATTGTCTTTATTTGGAAAAATGTGGAAAATTGGGACGGATTGATCACCGGTGTGATGTCAAATCTTCGGTTGATTCCATACTACAACGCCGCATTTTATAATCTTCCTGGCAAGAGCTATGCGACCAATTTTAGCATTGTAACGATTACACAGAATCAAAAGGCTGCTACATGCAAGATGGCGGTCGTCATGATTGAGGATATACGAACAGAGTTTCTGGAACAAATTAGAACGTAAGCATTAATATTTGTTATCGACATGACCGAGCAGAAGTCACTGTTTCGAGTTCTGCATTAATTGAGAAAGGCTCGATTCATGTTGCATTATTTTCTAAAAATAATCCTTTATTTTCCCAATTTTATTCTGAGAAACCGTTTATGTAGAATATTTGGCCACTTTTCTGTAGGATAATTTCTACTCGGGATAGTCACTTTTACGCCAAATTCTATTCTAATTCTGATCTTCTTAGAACCTTTTCGCCCACATACAAGCCGTTTATTACTACTCACTCTGACCCATGGGTATGGGCCACACCAAGCCCGAGCTTACTGGACCGACTCCTACTGACCGACACGCTTCCGGGTAGAACAAAGTACAAACTAGGATTGTCCTCCAAACCCAGTGGCGAGTTGTATATCAAATCTGTTTGTTACTTTTGTAACAATGGGAATCCTCAGTTGGTAGAGCATTCACTCGCTGAACCAAATCATGACTTCTTCCGCGACTATTTTCGCAATCTGAACGGAAAATTATTGAGGATATCGTTCCCAGCGATACAATGGATAATCGAGATTGACCCCAGGGTATCAGTCAACAATGCGAAGCGTGGAAAGTGGAAGCCATTATTTGATGATTTTCTTGTGAAATCATTTAATTTTACATATTACATGTTTCTCACCACGGGGAAAGGGTCTGGGAAACAATTCCCAAATGGAACTTGGACAGGTATACACGCCTGATTTTTATGCTAATGTATACATACATCCTTGCCATAATTGAATGATTTGTTAATATTTGTAACGTGTGTTGTAGGAGTTGTTGGTGACCTTTTGTACGGCAAGGCGGATGTTGGAATTGCCACGGCTAATGCACCTGATAGAAGTAATTATAAGTATATGCATACAATGCAGAATTATATGTAATATAATTCTAGGATATACGTAGTACATATCGCCGCTGTTCGTGCAAAAGTTGTCGGTTGAGAAACCTGGAAATATTAGTTGTCACATCCATTTTTTGGGAACTTCATATACGAACTACCTAGTCAGGTACGAAATTCTTTGATAAACGTTTTTTACTGCAGAAAAATAACAGGTAAGAATTTTTAATTTAAATTTTCCACATGGATGCATAATATACCTGTGTATAAAAATACTAAATATCCAAATTTCCTCTTCTGGAGCACACAAACTTACAAAATCTGATGGTAAACTGATCGCCTGGATTACGCACGGTTTCCTGTGGAAACTTATCCCAAGCCTTGCGTAAATTTAACAAGGAAAATTAAAGAATTTGCACTAAGCAAAAATCATACATACCCCTGGCAAATAGAAAACGTCGAAGATCTCATCCCCCTAAGTCTTTGATGGTTTGAATTTGAATTAATCTCCTGGAAAAAGCGAAACCCAGTTTTTTTCTAGAAAGGGTTACAGCGCAAGCCAAGAATTACATTACCAAAGTTGCCAAACGTAGTGTAAAACCTTTGAAGTCCGGCCTATTGAAAAATAGAAACTGAATTTCTTAAAAGGTCACGGCTCAGCCATATGGTGCATAAATTGTCCAAAATTGACTATGAGCTCATTTCATCGATTTTATTTGGTCACAAAAATTCCATTTGTAATATCAGACCTTAATCATCTGGATTATGACTTGGGGCTTAAAATTTAGACCATGGCCTGCTCTAAAACTTCCACTGGTGCAGAAGTTCTCAAATTTTGTTTCTCATCGCTTGTGACCATTTTCCGGTAGAAACCGCGCGTGCTCCAAGCGACCGGCCGTCCATCAGATTTCTCAAGCGTGTGTACTCAAGGAGAGGAAATTTGGAAAGGTAGTATTTTTATATTATACACAGGTATACTATGCATGCATATGGAGAATTTTGATTAAAAATTCTTACCCGTTATTTTTCTGCAGTAAAAAACGTTTATCAAAGAATTTCGTACCCGACTAGGTATTTAGAACATTCTGTCGACGTTTATCACACATTTTAATCTGACAACTGATGTTTCCGACTGGTTTCTCAACCGTCAACTTGTGCACGAAGAGCGATGATAGGTTTCTCCATGTGTGTAACAGTTCACCACATCACCTTCACCAATTCTTTCTTCGATAAGAACGAACTCAGCATCTTCACAACGTCAGGAGTTAGAATATTTAGTCCGCTCGCGCTATTGTGGTAAGTGAAAATTTTCTAGTTGGTTATCTTCAATAAAAATATAGTGAAATTGTGTATACTTTCATATTTATTTTCCTGAATTTGTTCACTAAATACTATTTATTCCCCACTTTCTGATCCAGGTCGTTTGACACATTGTCCTGGATGTTTATTGGGATCGCTACTGTCATCGTGATTCTGACGTTCAGCTTTATTTCATGGTTTTACGGGTATCATTTCGATGTGAAAGAGCCTGGTGGTCTTGTCATCGCTAAAGAGGAGAAAAATATTCCCTTAACCAACCATACATTTTTCGTCCTTACGAGCTACCTCAATCAAGCCTCCGCCATACCAAAATTTGCAGCATTTCGATGTTTTGTAGCCTTCTGGCTCTTTTTTACACTGATAATCACTACAATCTATAGGTGAGGAAACGTCCGAAAATTATGTCAGCAAAAATTCCCCATAAAAAACCCTACCCTTATGTAAAATGTTTTTTATTTAAAAACAGGTCCAAAATGGTTGGATTTCTCGCGTTTCCACTGTACGAGTCACTTCCACAAACATATCGTGACTTGGCATATTCCAACTTTACCCTTGGTTTCGTCATGGAGGGTGACTCTGCCCTCAACACGTTCAAAGCATCAAGAGATCACGTTTATGTAAAACTGATCAAGAAAATGGAGATTATTCCTTTAAACGCGTTAAACTGTGTGGAGCGTATTCTCAAGAGGGCAGGATATGCTTGCATATCGTACACGCAATCTATGGAATACGTCAAAACGAAAAACTTGTCATGTTCGGAATCAAGAAAGTTGATCCGGGCTAAAGAGACGACTTATAGCGTAATTCTATTTATCTAATCTATCTAGAGCGTACTCACGAGAACGGTTTATTTCGCATCGTAACTATAGTTACGATTATATATAAATACATAACTTAGCAAACTTGCGAAAAATTTGTGACGTGAGAGGATTCGTAAGCTATATGACTTTTCAAATCTTGCAAATCTATTACATAAATACGTAAATCCACTTATTTTTATGTCATTTCCATGGATTTCTGTAACTTCTCTTGCTAGTAGTGATGGTGAGAATGGTTTTGCGAAATAAGAATATGCTCATTGGCTGGATAAATAAGAAAATCCTATGGCTTTCTAGCAAAAATTTTGCGAAATCTTGCAAATTTCAATTTTCGAGATATGTAGGCGAAGGTTGACGTGAATACGCTCATACCGTCAGGATCTACATTTTTAACGAGTAATTACCCTTCTGCCCCGCAGATTTTTGTGGGTTTGGCTCTCACAGGAGGATCAATTTACAAGGAGGGATTCGATCGAATGATTGCTCGCACGAGATCATTTCATTTACCCGAAGTGTGGAAAGTCTTCAACTTGTATCACAATGTGTATCTGCCAAAGCGTGCTTGGTGGCTTGAAACTAACAATTCAGAAAAGTTGAGACAGACATCGAAAGCGGATGAAAACGATGACCTAACACTGAGACATATCTCTGGAGCTTTTTACGTTCTTGCTGGTTGTCTCGCGCTCTGCCTTGTCTTCTTTACAATGGAGGTAATCACTTATTGGTTGAAGGCCTACAAGGTCACTAAAATGAACCATGCCGCGCCTGTTAGCAAGATTGTGACACCTTGCCCCATTTAAAATTCGAAATTTTAAAAATACGATTATTTTAAGAATAATTAATTAATTACTACTAATTCGTTAATAATTAATTTTGAGAATACGAACCCAACATATTTTTGCACCACCCACGTACATATGTATTTTACCCTAAATTCCGTCTACATCGTAATCTTACACCACATTTCTCTCTTGAGTCATTAACTTTCACTTCACTCATCAGAAATATTTAACGTATATATGCAAACTGCATAGCTTTACATATTGTACTCGGCGAGTACAATATGTATGTGAGTATATGTATGTGGTATGTATGTGATATGTATATGTATGTATGCGAGTACAATATGTGCGAGTAGTACTCGCACATACAAGACCTACTAACACACATTGTTCATTTATCGTACACAATATACGATAACGCAATAATGCTATAAATTTGTGAAGAGAAGTTCTTGTTTCTATATATTTATGTATTTACCTTGTAATTAGGTACTTATTTATTTAAATTCATTACATCAAGGTCTCTGCACTTGGGGGTTGCTTTGGAGATGAATTCGAAGCTACAACAGGTTGTGTCAGTTTATTCGATTTTTAAAAAAATTCCAAAAATCCGGAGTTGGAGAATTCGCAAAATTTAAGCTGGATTTTTTTACGTTGTCAAGAGTTACAAATTAAAAATCGAGCGTAAATTTTGCGAATTCTCCAACTCCGGATTTTTGGAATTTTTTTAAAAATCGAATAAACTGACACAACCTGTTGTAGCTTCGAATTCATCTCCAAAGCAACCCCCAAGTGCAGAGACCTTGTCATTACATACATATGTTTTTAATCTACGAATTAAAAATATCATAAAAATATCATAGAGCAGAAAGAAATATGTAAATTCAGTCAATGCGTCAATTTCTGCTTATCTCCATAATTGTGCGTCACATTCATTTTCGAATTAACAAAGCCCTAAACGTTCCGCGAATTATGCTCCTCATAAACTTAGGCGAGGACAATCGCGTAATTGTGAAGACTCCTCCAGTTCCTATTTTCAAGGGCCGACATCCCCTCCGAAATTTTGAGAAATAGCTTTTCTCCTCTCGCGATGCACAGGAAAGTTGCTTCCACGAACGCAACGTTGTTTTGGCATATTCTCGGAAATAACCAGACGTCTCAAGGACCAGGATCCACATGATCTGCATCGTCAAAGACCAGAGGATGAGGAGCAACTATAAGGAGACAAATGATAATTTATTTCATGTAGACATATGCAAATTAGGGTCAAATTAGACATTTGATCTCACGTCAGGGTCATCGACATGTCCAAATTTTCGCACTCGATCATAAAACTGAGAACTAAAAGCACGGTGGCGAAAACTGCGCGTCTGCCTTCGTTCTGGCGGTATCCCACCCAGTACCCACAGACGGACGGACGGACAAAACGATACCATAAAGCAGCTGACGATACTTAATAACTTACCTTTGTGGGAGTGTCCATTGAATCTCTGCCATGAATTACGGATACATTACAAAACAAAGAAAACTGTCCAAACGCGAATTGCAAGACGAGTAAGGGCGAGCCGATAATGTCCAAAAACAGTTGATGCATCACTTCCACTCTTCTATATTCAGCGGTTAGATTCCAAACAGAAGAGCGTAGTTCGGGCGAGGACTTGTGTTTCAAGGGCCCCACCCTAAACTCGCAATTGATGAGGGGCAGGATCGAAACTGGGAGACAAATTTTCAGAAAATGTATTTTTTAAATTTCATAATCTTATATGTAGGAACTTTTGCCTCTTGTCTTCGCCCTTAGAAATCCAGTATTAAAATGACACCAAGATTGGCAGAGATTCATATACGACTCTATCAAAGTGGTATTGATAAGTGATATCATTGAGTACTTAATAGCTCGGAACTAAAATTTGACCATATCGCTAGAAAATTTTTACGAAATTTTAATACCAAGCAGCGGCAATAACTTTAATACCGAGAAATCAGTACCTGCCTGACTATATATACCAGATTTCTAAGAGTGAAATTCACTTACAAATGTAAACGACCACGAGCAGACTCACAATCCACATTTCTTGCCAAATCCCAAACGCGTAATACATGGGGACGAAGGAGTAACCCCAATACACGAGGGATGAATATCTCCACCTCGGGGGGAGGACGGTGGGGAGCAGGATCGGGGTGTCAGGGAAGAGAAAGTAATGCAGAACCGTGGTCCATGGAACCGTAGAAAAAAATAAGATGCACATCACAATCATTACGTCCAAACCAATGGGTATGTTTCCCTGCTGATTTGAGTATACAAAGTTGTGTGTCAACTGGAGCGACGGTGGCGCACATACCCATCTGTGTATTATTTAGTTGCTAGGTGAGAAGTGGTGGCGCTCGGGTGCAACACCTACCAGTGTATTATTAGTTGGTGAATGTGCATAGACGGCGCTCATAGTGTGGCTACTATCGCTCGTCCAGTACTTCTTCTAGATAGAATAGTATAGTTCTGTGGTCCAAACCAAGTCCTGTCAAGGATCGTCTCGGGTTGTAAGATGGAATCCATCTCTCTAAATAGATGAATATTTAGAAAAATTGTAGGAAATAGACCAAATTTTGAAGAAAATTAAAAATCAAAAAAACCTTGAAAACACTAAAATTTAAAATTTAAAATTTATATTTCATATTTTGTCTTTTAAATTTTATTCATTTTTTAAACTTTACTGCACTCTTAGAAATCTATTACTAAAATCATACCAAGCGATATTCATATATCGCTCTAGTAAACTGGTAGTGATGTGATTGTACATAGTTATAGCTCGGTATTAAAGGTTTACCATATTTGTATCAAATCCCTACGGACTGGTATAATTTTAATGCCAAGCGGTAGCAACTTCCCCACCGAGAAATCAATACTTGGCACCAGATTTCGAAGAGTGCACATATTCTTAGCATTTGCCAGTCAAAATAGCTTGGCATAATTTGTCAATAAATTCCATGATTAAATTTCCTATCACAAATATTTTCAAAATTTCTCATCCAATATTTACACTTCACTCACGTTCGAACTTGACCGTGTATCTGACCACCCACGTCGACCAGAGACAAATGTCGGAATGTTTCAAAGTTATACAAACCATGGAACCAAGCGTTAGCATTGCGACGGTTGAGAAGGCATAACAAATATGAAATTTGCCACGCTGATCATTCCATTTCCACCAAAAAATTTCCGCCGTCCTTCCGCAGAAGAAAGTTGTAAGGCCGCAAAAAAATAAAGTTGCCAAGTAAAATTTCACTCCTGAAAATTTCGTAGTGTAAAATTTTCTCTTATGCAGGTCAAAATTGAAAGGGCTCACTCCCACGAGCAGAGGGATGAAGAGGGAATGATACACTAATTTTAGTCCGGATTTGCTATACATGTCGCTGTTACCTATTTTTTACTGAGGCACATAATTCATGCGGTCATTGGTAACTTGTAAAATTTGGACGTTTTGTGAAATAATTTTTCAAACTTTTACAAAATGATGAGACGTCCTTCATCCGAGTAAATTTACAAAAATTTGTAAGCTAATTTTATTTTTTTAAACTTTGTAAGTTTACGAATTTTACGATTTTACTTACATACCAAGGCCTGCGTGATTTGCGTACTGAGTTCTAAATAGGTTGCAACATTCTACTTATATTTTTCAGTTTAACTAGGACAGAGATGAGTATGAGGGGTTACACAAAAAAGTTGGCGACTTATTTATGGGGGAATTAAATATTCGGAAAAATTGGAAAACAATGAGAAGATAAGTAGATTACTGGCTGTAACTTCCGAAATTAGTCTTAATTTCATGGCAGAAATTGCAGTCTAAAGTCAGAATTTGAACCAATTACCTTACATTTCCGTGGTAAACAATTTTATTACAGGGTTCGGAAATATTTAGGTTATCATCAACTTAAATAATTGGGGGTTGTACGGGTACACATGTAAATATTTAAAAGTTGCTACAGTATGGCGACCACTGATGTAAGATGGAAAGAAGCATGAATAATCTAAATATAGCGAACTATGTAAAAATGTATAACCTAAAATTAATAATGGACAACATTCTAATTACTTTAGAGGAAATAAACTTTGCTACGACGGGAAACAAAATAATTTTGTCTTCGCTAGCTTTATTTCAGATTTTCGGAGTCTTTAAAGCAATGTTTGATGCTTTCGAAATAAACTATGTAACTGTAAATTTCAAAAATAATCTCATAATTGATATCAATTATTCCAGGAAGTGAATTATTTAAAGTTCATGGTTTCTTTGATGACGGAGAATTAGATAAAATTATAACCTGTGACAATTCCTGGTTTGATAACCAGGAAGTGTACAGTGCATTCATACATACATCATATGTCCATATCTTAATTTGTATATAACATTTGCAGCAAATTTTGAACGGAACTAGAGATCATTGACCGACTCAAATTCTATTGCAAATTGTTCCCATTTACGAACATGTGGTTATATTAACTACTTGGATTCATAACCGTTAATTGTAATGCTAATTTTGTCGGGCAAAACCATCTGGCTATTTTTCTTATCAAAATGATTTCCGACTTAAATTTGTCGATATTACCATAATTTTAGCACCCAATAAATCTAAATTCATAAATGGACATGTATAAAAGCTCACTTATTTGACAGCTGAATATCACATACCTACATATTCTCAACTGAAAAAGAAGCAAGAAAATAAATTATTCGAATAAAAAACATTTTGAAAAAAGCGTACTCAATTTTTACGAAGAACTTAAAATCAACCAAATTTTAAGATGGGTTTAAAGTAAACTGGGCCACTTTTCTTCTCCACTTTGATCTTCTTAGTTGTCATTATGTCCACAATTTCGGAATCAATGGGTACAATATTTTACTTTCTATATATTCACATATCCATATTTTGAATCATGTTGACTTGTATGGTTTCAAAATTCAGGTCAGGACGCTTGCGATCGTTGCCGCACGACTTGCGTGGAGACTGGGACAAAAGGGGTGGGGTGCACGAGTTATTTGTGCTTCTTCAGTTTTTGCAAGTGTCTGGGGAAAAAGGATTGCGATCTTCGATTTTTCGCACCAAAAAATTTTGTTAAGAAATAAGGTTAAGAATTTTGTTAAGAATTTGATTTCAAAATTGTATGGGTATGGTCAATATTTATGTAAATTGTATGGGAAACGATTGTCATTCGTTACTACGATTGAGAATGATTAAATAAATTATGGGTTGGGTTAAATTTACCATGAATTTAAACTTATTTCTAGAATCATTGTTTTGTATTTCCAAAATTTTCACAATTCTCAAAACTAATGCAAATTGCTTAATTTGTTGTAATGATGGTGATGAAACTTGTGTTCAATGAAGTGTAATAATTGTTTATCCTTGAAACCGATAACTTCAGAATTTCAATTAAAATTAAAATTATTTCATCGCGTTATCCGCTATTTTGGATCTTGCATGAAAAATTTATGGAGTTTAAATTCTTGCAAATTGATTTATTTATTCGCGAATCTTCAGTAATCGGATGATAGAAAGGGTTTGTAATTTTGAATAAATTTTGAGCTGATGTTGCTTCCTAAATCTGTGACACCTGGCCAAATCAAATAAAACGATTTTGGTTTATGTCACCTTCTTTACATAAGTATTTTCACGTTTAACGTATGTAAATTCATGTCATTTCATAAATATTGACCTGCCAAAGCCATGGTTTTGTCAAGCTCATTTGTCAGTATTTCCAACACTTTGGCGGCACCCTGCTCACCGCCAACGGTCAGACCTGCGAGTGCCGTTCGTCCAATGAAAACCTAGACAATTAATTCGCGAAAATTTTACTAATAAAAATATGTTGTGGAACGAGGAAACATTTTTTAAATTTTTAATTTGCCATTTTAGCTCCAAGTGCTAACGCTTTGAAGACATCGGATCCAAGGGTGATGCCACCGTCCAGGTAGACTTCAACATTACTGGATTTAGTCGAAGCTACTACTTCCGGTAGGACGTCAATCTAAAATTATAGAAATTTATGGACAAATCTTTAATCTTTCTAAAAGGTTAAAATCTGCTAATCCTACCAAATAACCTCTCAGATTTTTTTAACGGATTTTAGGATTAAAACTCTACCAGCAATTATAGCCATCAATTCATTGAGATATTTGTAACGTTATCGACTCCTTACGCTCGTAAATTTAGAAAAATAAAGATTGTACAATAGAATTAGGTTATATATTATTTGCAAAGTTTACTGGATGACATCAACTCCAGCGAATTTCCTAAATTTATTAAGTCAAATATGTATCTAACCGCTGGCATGACGGAGTCCAACTGTCGCCCGCCATGGTTTGACACGATGATGGCGTCGACGCCATGCTCCACGGCCAATTTGGCATCTTCTCCGGTAAGAATGCCTTTCAAGATGAGTTTCATTTTGGTTTGCCTGGAAGGACGTGATTCTCAGGTGCGTGATTTTGAACTTATTTACATAATTAAGGTAAAAATTGATTTTACTCTCTGATCCATTTAACGACATTCCAATCCATGCTGGGATCCATATCTTCCGGAACTTGCTGTTCTGCGATAAAATTGTTTATTCCTTTATAATAAATGCAAGAATTTCATAACAGGGAAATATGTAAGTATAATTAGAACTTATAGACTTGACAGAGTCTAAAGTAATTCTGGAAAAAAAGCTATTCTTATAATGTTAATCCCGTTGATTAAATTTACCCTGCATTTCCGGAAGTTTCCAAGGTTTCCTTTTGAAACCGAGTCGATTTGCAGGAATTTGACAATCCACTGTTAAAACGACTGCCTCGTAGCCAGATTTTTCAGCTCTTATTAAAAGGTCTTTGTTCACCTCGCTAAATACATAAAATGGTGACGAATTATCCGATTTAATTGAAAAACTTTTATGTAAATAGCAAATTATCTGGGGTTAATTAATTAAAATCGTCTCACATATCTTTTTGGTAGTACAACTGAAACCAAAGCCTCGTTTTTGGTGCGGCAGCAGCGACCTCTTCGATACTTGCGGTCGCTAAGGTACTCAGAACGTAGATGGCGCCTGATCGCCCCGCAGCTAATATTATTTTAAAATTCAATTAACATTGTGTCAACTCGTTTATTACATAATAACGAAATTCACGCAGGGCTTTGTAACATTGTAAAATCCGTAAATTATCTAATATTTTTTACAAAATTTTAAAAATATTTCTAAGGAACATTAGCGTTCCCAATGGCTGTGTCAATTGCATCATTATTTAATTTGGGAAATTATGTCTATGTGTCACCTCTTGCCACACCACATTCTCCATCGGGATGAAAAAGGGCCTGCTTAGAAGTTGGTGCCACACCGATCGGAATGGAGGCTGGAATTCCGAGGATCGTCGTGGTCAAGTTTATGGCAGAAACGTCGCGCAAAATCCGAGGACGAATTACATATCTGGAATTTTTTTAATATTCCAGAGATTTTGGATGGCAAGTAATAAATAATTTATGCAAACATGTATGCATACCTTTTGAAAGCCTTCCTATTTTGGTCTAAAGCCCATCCTTCGTCTGGAATGCCTTCAAAATATTCCCAGGATCCGTTCGAATCTTTGGTGAGCTTTGATTTTGCTGCCTCGTAAAAATCCTGAACACATAAGAATTTCTCCATTTCTGAGAAATTATGTTCCAAATTAAGAATAATTTTAATGAATTTAGAGTGCAGTTAGGTTAGTTGTGATCAGTAAATATAAGGAGAATAATGTAGATATTTATGTATAAAGCAGCTGGAAGATAATCATGGAATAAATTGTTTGTATGTAAGGTGAGAACAAGGTCAGGATTTGAGATTGATTACATATGCCAGTAGACCAAGAAAATTGACAAGTTAAGTTTCTTAGCATTTTATACTGGAGAAATCCAATATATTTAGTAAGATACGTCAGGCAGTAGTCTCATGTCATGTTACGATAAAGTTGGGATGAGTAGTGTATAAATAATTTTAAGCAACTCGAATTAATATTAACCTGAACTTGAAAGCGCAGTGATGTTATTATAACATTGTTATATATACGTATATACATGTGCACCAGTATGTATGATACATACACAAAGGATGCAATCAATTTTTCGGAAAACATACAAAATGCTAAAAATAACCATGACTTCTGTCCATGTATTCCCAACCCCCTAAACTCTATCGTATATGTACAGATATTAATTTTATGAATGGTTCCTGAGCATGTACGAATTTACTTACATATTTATTTATTAATAAATCGAGGAAATATGTATGTATGCACAAATGGTGTCCCAATGATGCTATACATACTTAAGGATGAGGTTGACAAGAGGTGATTTTAATTTAGCTCACTAGACAACAAATTTCAAAAATTGGCTAATAAATAAATTAAATGGCATAATTTTCACATTCATAGAAGCCTTGACAAAATCAATACATCTGTATTTCCATACACAAAAAACAAAATTCGGCAAATTTATTTCTTACAATTTGGTTAAACTGAAATAAACGAATATTTTCGTCAACTTGATTCTTAATCATATTTTCGTGTGCCTCCATAACTACCGGGGAGTTGATCGGGATCAATTTTAGCCTGCAGGTACGCCGACCATTCCTCTTTATTCGAGCCAAACACCTTAAGTGCTTTCCTCGACGGGGGAGAAAGTAATGGCCGAAAAACATTTAGAGCAGCATCGAACGAGTCCAAAGCTGAAAGAAAGTATTACACAAATAAAATTATGAGGTTTCTCTTATGTAAAAATGAATAGAAACTTAAACATACACAAATGTATATTTCCAAGTAAATAGTTACACTCTTAGAAATCCGGTATAAAAATAATACCAAGCGATATTCATCTATGACTTTACTAAAGTTGTATTGAATTGATAAATAGTTTGGTATTAAAGATTTATCAAATCGATAGCAAGTTTTTACGGACTGGTGGCAACTATACCAGATTTCTAACAGTGCATAAATTACCATTTATGAGAATAATTTCCTCCGCTGCTCCTGGAAAATGCTTTTCGTACATGGTAGCAAAATCTGTGAACAGTGTGAGACATTTGGCACAAAGGTGTTGCTCGGCGTTAAACTTGTCAACGTTGACGATTAAGGTCCACTGGGTTCCATTAATCTTTCCCTGGTTGAATAAATCTCTGGTTATTTTATGAACCTCGTCCGTTCCTTTGATCACCCAACGAATCAAAGTTTTGAGCCGGCCTTCGTCCGATGCCTGGCGAAGGTCCCATTCTCCAAGGGAGTAAATCATAACTATGGTGAAGAGAAATATGAATTTTATGCCCCGAGTATTTCGAATACGAAGATTGGGAATTAAGATTTGTACACTTAGTTTTCGCACAAACTGACAAACTCTAAATTTATCATGAACAAAATGAGAAACTTAGCATTTACTTGAGAAATCAGTTTACCTAAAACCTCTAAATTCGCAATCTCCCTAGTATCGGAAGTACTGCAGGAAATTTTAAAATTGAAAAAGTCCAGAAAACTTTATAAATAGATAAGTAAATTTCAAAAATTTGTAGTACGCTTGACTCACTAGGTTTGCCATCTTTGTCCACCCCATCGACGTGGTATGGATTATTTTTTTCGTACTGTGACCAATCCTCATTTTGTATGTTATCCATCCCGTAATCCTTCCACCATTTCACCGTCTGAATAAAAAAATTGGGTTTGGATGTCCGATCAAAATTATGTATGCGTTTTAATTAATTTCACAATGAGTCAATTAACGCGGTCCCCGATGAAATTGTGAATTCTTTAAACTTACAAACTTTTGCAAAAGTTTGTAAATATTTCCAGTGAAGGCTAGCTTACCATTTTTTGTAAACTAACTTTTAAGCTCATTCTTAAACTCTTAAACTTACAACGGCGTCTCTTTATTTTGTAAAAGTCTGTAAATTTATTTTACAAAACTTATGGATTTTACAAGTTGCCAATCATTGCGTGCAGATTTTTACCTCCAGTATCATATCTCTGGCTCGCTGTACATCCCATTGCCTGGCTAAATGAAATAAAAACAGATATGTATAACATATGAGTGTTAAGAAATGCATTACAAATTTACAAAAATTCGAAAAATTATTAAAATGACAAATTTTGCTATTTGCGCAAAATAACTGCTCATAATAAGTACTATTTATGCATACTTTCTTAGGCTAATCTTAAATAAAGAGAGAACTTACCTATATATTTAATAATTTCTACCTTTTAAATAGCGGAGAAGATTCAAGTCGTCTTTCATCCATTCTTGAGGAAACTTGATCGTCTCCAGCGCTTCCTTAAACTGGATAAAACAGAATCGAAATTTAAACATATGTATGCAAATTCAGATTCTAAATATATATGAATATGGTTTTCAATACCTTATCTAATTTCTGCTTTTGTGATTTTGTAACGGTGAGATTTTCAGATTGAGATGATAGCCGAGTCAAAGATAAAATGAATAAAATATGTAACACATGAAATTTAATATTAAATTTCTTAACCAACATCTTAAAAATTCTGATATGCAAATTGTTTTCAAAAGTGTTTAAAGGCTTCTACTAAACTAGATGACAGGGTGCAAATTACATATGTATTTATAGGCCACGAAATAAGGAAAATCACGAATTATTGATTTCATTTAGTGACTTAATTAATCCTGTTTTCCTACAGCAATAAACTTTATTTAAAAATATTTTATAATTTAAAACGTGAAAAATTTGTAGAAAAATTAAATTTTAATATTTGTAGTTTCTTACTTGACGACCTGAATGTCTGGATACTTTATTCGCAAAATTACATAAATGTGCTTGCCTTGCATACATATATTTATGTGAATACAAATTTACATGGATCAACTTTTCCTTGTAGGTGAGCAGGGTTTGGAAAATCACTTCACAATGTGATTTTATGTGATTTATGTGATTTATGCAATTTTTTGAATGTCTTTGATTATGGGGCAAAATGAAAAACTAAGTATCTTTACGTGTAATATGCATTTTAGTTAAAACAAGATTACTTAATATTCGGAATCCGAGCAAAATTCTGAGCATCTTATTTTCATACTCGGTGTGTTTTGACCAACTTCAGCTTTTACATATGTACAAATCAAATACAAAATTCAACTTTGTCCTATGCATTCAGCTGAAGTCATACAGAAAAATGTAAATGAATTTCATGCTGAATCCTGATATTAGGTTTTTTCTAGAATGCATTTTGATGAAGTTGTCTCACTTTTCCTCAATACATGCATCACAAATCACAAAACTCACAATTGTCATATAAATCACAGAATGTAAAAATCACATAAATCACACCTACATATTTAAATCATAAAGTTTGATTATCGCAATTTCAAATCTCTGCTTATGTAAAAGAATTTTATGCTTAATAATTTAGTTGGAGTTTCAACGAAAAAAAATTCTGAATATCTAATTTAACGATGAGCTCGTCATTCTGCATATTTATGTAAGGAAGTAAAATTTGAACCTTCAGAATTAAATGGCACTTTAATTTGATTGCTAAATAAACCTAGTTCCTCTAATAAATAACTCGTAATAATACATAATTCTCGGTAAAACAATACTGCATAATGTGTATTTACAAACGAAACTAATTGGTCAATCGAAAAAGGTAAATGAATAACAATCAAGGCCTAAAAGGGCTAAATTATGTCTCCAAATCGATTCGTTTCCAAGTACAAAGCCAGTACAAAGCCGTTGAAAATGAGAATATAATTTAGTTGCAGGTCGTCATAGGATTTTTCGAGCCAATTTGTGGTTCGCTCTAAATAAATTAGATTGGGTAAAATTTACCCAACTAATTAACGTAAAAGGTTGAGGGGACAACATTAATTGGGTAAATTTTACCTTTCATTGGGTAAATTTTAAACACTTGTTGTGTCATAGCAAATTTTAACTCAACCGACCGAGAGTAAATTTTGATCAAATTTATTTAGTGTGCGCACTATCATACAGTAGTAAGCGTAAGCCATCCATATAATTATTTCAGTCAAAACTCGTTGTTGTAATTTTTGAACGATGTTTTCATTCATATTCGGTCATTTTCTTTCATAAGTACTAATTTCATTTCTTACTTCATTCCATATATATTTACCTATGCACATACATCGAAAAGCATTGGGAGACGCGATTAGAATTATGCTATTAGAATGGCCTTATGAACGCGGCTCAGTTTGAATATCTAACAACTTGTAAGTATGGTCGAGACATTTAGACACATCTAACTTCCATAAAGCGTTAGTGTTAAGTCGCTGCCTGCCTGACTGACCGAGGAGTGATGCGATGCAAGCTGCCCCACTCTCACTCCGTCTCACTATTGACTGTATCCACCGCGATACTCTCTTCTTCTCGCTCAGTCGGATCTGATGAGCAGACCGACAACAACACATTTTTCCACAAATCCTCCAAGTTTCACCTCCTCCTCCCACTTAAAACCACCACCCATAACAATATAAATAATTACATATTACACATACATTACATTACGCACATACGTACGTACGTACGTAAACAAACGTACATATTTACTACATACATACATACATACATACATAGACATATTTACATACACAATATACAACTACATTATCCTACGGGGTAGTATCTTTCACGCGGATAAAGGCCAAAGCGCCGTATCAAAGGCCAAAGTGCCGTATTAAAGGCCAAAGTGCCGTATTAAAGGCCAAAGTGCCGTATTAAAGGCCAAAGTGCCGTATTAAAGGCCAAAGTGCCGTAATAAAGGCCAAAGTGCCGTAATATAGGCCACAGTGCAGGGTACCGTAACAAAGCATAGCGTAGTGTGCCGTCATAAACAACAGGGTGCTGCAACAAATTATATTAAACTGAATAATGCCCCCAAAGAGACAAAGGACTGCCGAAGGAGATGCTGAAAGAAAAAGGCAACATGCTGAAAATATGCGCATGCGCCGTGCAAACCGTTCTGAAGAACAACGTTTAGAAGAACGCGAAAGAAATGCAGAAAATAAGAGAAACCGAATTGCAAATCTCTCTGCGGAAGAACGTTCCATTGAACGAGAAAGACGTGCAGAAATTGAACGAAACCGAGTTGCAAGTCTCTCTGAAGAACAGCGTTCCCTTGAACGAGAAAGACATGCAGAGATTGAACGAAATCGAGTTGCAAATCTCTCCGAAGAAAAACGTTCCATTGAACGAGAAAGACGTGCAGAAATTGAACGAAACTGAGTTGCAAGTCGCTCTGAAGAACAGTGTTCCATTGAGCGAGAAAGGCATGCAGAAATTGAACGAAATCGAGTTGCAAGTCTCTCTGAAGAACAACGTTCCCTTGAACGAGTAAGACATGCAGAAATTGAGCGAAACCGAGCTGCAAGTCTCTCTGAAGAACAACGTTCCGTTGAACTGCAACGGAACTCAAAGAACAAAAGACATAGAGCTGCAAATATGGCAACCCCTCAACGTATTGAACAAAGGCGTGCAAATGTTGCGGCTGCATCAACTTCAAGAGCCCCAACGAGGCTTAGAAATCTAAATCAGACCATTCATGCGGCATCAATTAATAGGTTTAATGAAGCCGACATACAGCAGCACACCTGTGGCGAATTAAATGTTCCATGTTCTTTCTGTGGTACTTCAATGCAGATAATGTAGAAGCTGCGGCCGAAAGAGCCGGATTAAAAGAAACTATGCTGACGGCTTGGTTTAAATTAAACGATACAGATGGAAATGCAAGGCTTTATTTATATGCCGATATCCCCGAACATTATGTCTTTAATAAAGTAAGTGGAGTCTGGAAACCACGTCAAAGAGAGACAAATAATACAATCGGTAGAATGTATCCTGTTAATTTATCTACCGATGCAGAAAAATATTGCCTAAGACTACTGTTGCTTCATAGGCGAGGGGTTACTTCCTTTGAAGATCTTAGAACTGTGGAAGATGTAATCTATCCAACCTTCAAAGAGGCAGCCCAAAAAAGTGGCATATTTAGTGATGATGCAACTTGGGACTTTGCATTAACCGATGCAGCAATTTGGAAAATGCCTCGGCAAATGAGAGACTTATTTGCGTATATCTGCGTGTTCGCAGTTCCTCCTAACGCTTTGGAACTTTTCGAAAAATACAAAGCTGATTTGTATGAAGATTTTGCAAGAGATGCAAGGCACAATCACACAGATAATTGCCAGCATTGTACAAATCTTGCTTTAGTAGAAATTCAAGCAATTCTTATCTTGAACTACAAGAAATGCGAAGACTTTGGCTTGCCGTCTCCACCAGCCAACATGCGTGCGGCTGCAGAAGAGTATTTTGATGTACTTGCAGAGAAGCAAAAAGGTGACGCATTGCAAGAAACTCTTAACTCTGAGCAACGAAATGCTTTCGATACAGTGTTAAATGCGGCAGAAAATGATAACCTTCCCCACAGAATATTCTTTATGGATGGAGTTGGTGGAAGTGGGAAAACACACGTATACAAGACCATACTTTCCACAGTGCGTGGCGAAGGAAATATTGCATTACCTATGGCATCAACCGGAATTGCAGCCAATTTGCTTGATGGTGGACGAACTTACCATTCGCAATTTAAATTCCGCATTCCTATAGATGACGCAACAACATCACCAATTCGATCGAAATCAGCAGATGCTGAGCTATTTAGACAAGCAAAATTGCTCATCTGGGATGAAGCTACAATGGCCCCAAGTCTTGAATTAGTAGCAGTGGATAAATTTCTTAAAGAAGTGATGGATAATCAAAGGCCACTTGGTGGTAAAGTCTTACTATTAGGAGGAGATTTTAGACAAACGTTACCTGTAGTTCCTCATGCAAGTAGATCTGCCATTGTAGAAGCGAGTTTGAAATTTAACAGCTTATGGCGAAAAGTCAATATTCTACATTTACTTAGTAATGTAAGGTCTGTAGACAAAAGCTATAGTGATTGGCTACTCAAATTGGGAGATGGCACATTAGAAACTCCTCTTGGCCTCCCTAAAGATGCAATTGAAATCCCAGAACAACTTATTTGCCGGGAGTCAATAATTTATGAAATATATGGAGAACGTCTTACGGTTGCCAATGTTGCCAACTTTTCAAAAATGGCAATTTTGTGTCCAAAAAACTCTGATGTTGACAAAATAAATGAAGACATTTTAAATATTCTTGAAGGAAATTCGGTAACTTATTGCAGTACGGATTCCGTGGATGATGAAAGTGCAGAGGATAGACAACATTATCCTGTTGAATTCCTAAATGGTTTAACGCCATCTGGAATGCCTGTCCACAAGTTAAATCTTAAAAAGGGCAGCAATATTATGCTCCTTAGAAACTTAAATACGAAACGAGGACTGTGTAATGGCACCCGTCTAATTGTTGAAGACTTGAAGCCCAATTTAATAATTGCAAAAGTGCTTACAGGGTCTGCACAGCAACAAATTGTATTCATTCCAAGAATTGATTTGTCCACTGCAAATGCAGATTTTCCATTCGTTTTACGAAGAAGGCAGTTCCCAATTAAATTGGCATTTGCAATGACAATTAATAAGTCTCAAGGGCAAACTTTAGACAAGGTCGGAGTATATCTACCTGAGCCCGTCTTTAGCCATGGACAATTATATGTTGCCTTATCAAGAGTGCGACGCTTTGCAGATGCAAAAATTAAGATAATAGACGGCCCAGAACAGGGAAAACTGATTGAGGGCTCAGACAGAGTTTTTACCAAAAATGTGGTCTACGAAGAAATATTTTCGAAGCAATTAGACCCGGATGGTCAATAATTTTAGTTAATTTGAGCTAGCGGTGGCTCAGACAAATGTACCTTCCGTGCTTTCTGAATAAAACACAGAAAGCCTGTGGGGCAGCACGCAGAAGGGGGTCCACGTCCCCTGCCCTGGGAGGATATGATATCCTCCAAACGCTTCTGCAAAAATGATATCTAAAACAATACCGACAAGAAATACATTTTATATAAATAGATACACTCTAGGACCCGTCCTTGGACGGGCTATACGCTAGTTCTTATATAATATATAATATACATTACCCATCTATGTAAACATGTATAATTTACAATAGTAAATGCCTTGTACCATATCTCCATGCATTTATATTATGCTGAAAATTATTAGGTGTAATGGAATTTCTGCCCGCCAAAAACACGTACCCATTCGATTAACATTGCGAGCGGGCTGAAATTCAAATGAAATCCATCTCGCTGAATCATTTCCTAATAGTGCATAGGTATATATGTATTATAATATATCTATTATATCTGTAATTATCAGTATATTATGGCACATGACTGTTAGATAACTAAATTTAAATCCACGCTGATGCGCGTCATTGTCAAATTTTCATCATGTCGGGTTGAATTTGCTAAAATTTTATAATGAACTGGAAGCAACTGATGCTTACGTCACTTTTTACAAAAATCGACGACATACATTATGCACGGCCTCTTGCTTCTTGCGACTTCTTGCGAAATGGAAACAAAGTTGATCGCGACAGGAATGAAGAAACGTGTAAATATTTTGCACATAATTAAAATTAATTGGATAAAAGATAAAACACGTGAATATTGATCAATCTACATAAAAGAAAGTGTAAGTTCTTACAGAAAATTTGCTGTTCAAAAATTTCAAGTACCTAGCTTCAAAAATTACCAATTACATGATTTACTTATCAATTCTGAAATTGACATATGTATATTTGTTGAAATTTAAAAACAAAATCCTTAGATAACAATTCAATTCATCTCGGGTGCAATGGAAGCTAGTCGAGAGGAAAGGAGTGTGCAAGAAATCGCACTGAATAATCCGATTGTAAGCCAAAATATGTACAAAATAAATCTAACCCCATTAAATAGAGTTAAAAATATGAAACTACTTTGTCAACTTTCAGATTTTAAAGGAAATATTCAAATGTGCATCAACTCCATTGAAAAGTTGTCGACTGGTTTGCCAATTTTGGAACAATATTGTCCTCTCCCTTCCAAATACAAGACTTGCCTCAAAGCTGGCCCATAACGACAAAGATGATTCCGACGACGATTCTCAAGCCGTCCAATATTTCAGCCTATGTCGCGCATTGGATGGCCGACTGGCGAAACGGATTAGCGCCAACAGTGACATCGTTTCCTTTGGCTGGAAGCTGATGTACATTTGCGACAAGTTCAATGACCGGGTGCAAATTTTGGAGCTATGCTTACGCAAAGAAAATTCCCTAAAGCTTGTCTGTCCAGTTTTAAGAAATTGTTGCCCCAATTTGAAACAATTGCGAATTGTAGGCAAATTTATCGCCAAGGATCTGGATCTTTTTCCACCGGGAGAAGAACAAATTCTGCCAGTAAAACCAAATTTGACCTTGTTCGCCCTCACTTGCTGGAATTTCCGCCCGGAAATTAAGTTTAGCACGACTCTTGCCAATTTAATTGATTTGGTGGTCAACGCCTCGCCAAATTTAAGCGAGGTCACCATTCCGTGGGGATTCTACCCAGATTTGTCAAATTCCAAGAGTCTGGTATCCTTAAACATCGCGCTGGATGAGGTCGACCCAATTAAAATTGAAGACATCCAGAACGTTTCAAAACTGTCGGGAATGTTGCATCAAGTCAATGGCCAACTGGTCAACCTGACTATTGGGACTGTTCAAGGCGCTTTTCTACTATTACCGTCGACGCACTACCGTTTTGAAAACAGACCTCAAATCGGATTCCACTTGACGAGAAGGATGCCCAAGTTACGAAAGTTTTCCAACCGTATCGTCGAAATGTTTCGGTGTGCCGACTTTTTCCAGAATATCGAAATGATGCCCTTCCTGGAAACTTTGGTGATTGGAAGACAACTGGAAAAGCGTGGCGTGGATGAAATTTTGCAGGGAATTTGTAAAGCGAAAATGGTTTTGCCTAGTGTAAGGAACTTGGAGGTTGTTGAGTTATTCAATTCCAGATTACTGGACAGGGTGGCGACTGCGTTTCCGAACGTTGAGAGGTTCGAGATGGTTCGCATGTTGGCGAGGGAGGTCGAGGGGGAAGTGAGGAGATTGGAGGTGGCCGTCGTGCTAGAAGCGTTTCGGGGTTGGAAGAGATTAAAACATTTGAAATTGACCTTGTCCGAGTTTCCTGTGCAAATGGGGGAATTTATCTGGGGGCTTTTGCGAGGCGAGGAATTGTTTCGACGTAAGTGAAAAAATTAAAAACTGTGTAAAATTTGAAAAAATGTAACAAATCCATTTTTAAGCTACGATGGGATTGTGTAACAAGTTATATCAAAAAGTTATGTACATATTTACTAATTTGTCATTAATTAGTTATTTTACTTAATTTTTTGATTAAATAATTCAACGGAAAGATATGTCATACATGATCCATGTTTTGAAGAATAATAATGGCAGCGAAGTTAAAGTTTTTAGTAAATTTTGCCTCCACGGGGCGAAAACCAAGGCACATATGCTTCCCTATATTTTTTCATGGGGGCTATGTATTTGACGCAAAGACGAGTCATGTGATATCTAATTTTTGCCTTGTTTTTTTTTGCTATAACTCGTTACACAATTCCGTTATAGCCTGAAAAAAGGTCCCATTATCAATGTGCATGCGTGCATGCATGCACATTGAAGTACTGCCCATTTCTTGCATTTTTTGGGACTTCCTATTTCCTGTAGTTTGTTCTAAGAAATGCCGAAAATGTGCAAGAAATCAAACCGTAGATTAAATAATTTATGCATTTCACTCACAGTCTTCTTTAAACTATCATGCGCTATTCTTATCAAATAAATATATACAAATTTCTTTCATTATCATATTTACTTCATCTTTCAACTCAAATTTCAGGGCTTTCAACGTTAGAAATTAAGATGCGTCGCTGGGATGAGAATTACGAGACCCGAGATTTTTCTGAGGACGAGATGTCTCTGTTTAAGCAAGCGCTTCTCGTGATGGATAAGATGGACCGAGTCACGATTGCCGGACTTGATGTGAGTAGATAAATACGACTAAAAGTTGGTTTTTAACTGATTAAATAATTAATTATGTACTTAGCTCGTGAGCATTTAAGAGATACGTATTTTTATGAATTTTGTTTCCAGTTAAGCACAGAATCTAGGAATAATATAATGGATTTCGTAGCGTCGCATAAAATATCTGCGTCCAAATTTAGAATGATGGGAGGGGAATTCCTGTAGTAATTAAGTACGTTTAAATTAATTAATATGTACTCATTTTTTGGGTAGGTCAAACATGTAAATAAAATTTTGTGAAATGACGAAATATTGCATTTTCGATAGAATACAGAGCGTGTTTCAAGATACAAAACTCAGTTTAGTTTTTGAGATAATAAGTGTTAGAGACACCTGGAATTATTGAAATTTGCATATGTTGTACCAGATAGTCAAGGAACAGTTCGCAAAACAACTCTTAGTTCTGTGCACCAACGTGCCCCCACACCCCCGCCCCCCCCACGGAGTGCGAGGTAGTCGTAAAAGAGTTTTCCAAAGATGAATTGTACCATAAAAAATTGTTAAGAAACTGCCGACGACTGAATTCAGCGCTAGTCAAACCCATATTTCCAGTGTATTAAATGACACCAGCATAAAGAGTCAGGGATCATTGGCTGGAGTTCCACCTCCACTAAAGTGGCGTCCAAGAGCAGCCAGCATCGAGGATGAGTTGGACTAGATTGCAAATTTCATCAATAAAGAAAATCCATCATCACATAAAAGTATGCAAAACGTTGGAGGTGAGTCAGATAACAGTTTTTAGGGTCATTCACTCTGACCTAAAGAGACCAGCGCCGAGGAGGACCCGGTTTACGCCCCCAAGCCGTCTTACATCAAGTTTTTCGAAGTAACTTTGTGATAACTGTATGAAAAATAATTTTCCAGAAATAAATTTTAAACTCAAATTACTCTTGACGAGTCGCCTGACATTATTCAGATTAATTATTTTGGATTTGAGTACTTGAAGCAGAGATTTTCAAGTGTACGGCTCGGGCGCTAAATGGGTTTTGGAAAACTTTTCACGGGCGGGTGGAACAAAATCACTCCAAAAAAGTGTCAAACGTGATAATGGCGTAGAAAAAGCGATTTCACCTCTTTAGGCAAACTAATGGGCTACACGTTTAATCAATTAACAACATTCACCAACGAAAAATAAAGCCGTAGGAAATTAAATAAAAGTGAGTTTTGTATCTTGAAACACTCTCTGTAGTGTGAGAAATTATGCCCGTAAAATTTTAAAGAATATAATCTTAATTTTGTCTGAAAATTTAGATTATACTAAATTTATTCCCATGTTTTTGTGCTGATAAAAATTGTGATGTAAGTATTTCGTACGAATAACTAATTAAATAATTATTTATTTAAATACAAATGAAATGCTTAATTCATTAATAGATATTATCTTTTATTCGGATTTTGCATAACTTTACATGTGTATTTAAATTAGTTTAAGGCTAACTACGTTCAAATTTGAAAGTGAGTAAGACCGAAAATAAATATTTTAATCCAAAACAAATAAAATAATCATAACGATGGTAAAAAAACTTGGACCACAATTTCTTGGGAGCAATTCGTTTGGTTTTTTACTTGCCATGTTTATTAAAAAACTATTTTTTATTAATTTATTACGTATAAATTTAATACTTCATTTGCAAGGAACAATATGTATGGCATACATTGTATGCCCTATATTAACGATATCAGAAAATGTACGTCAAACATTTTTCATGAATGAACAAAGATGTGAATTGAGACGATGGGGGCCGTGCATAAAGCAAGTGCTGGATTTGGGAGAATTCACATCGAGTGTGACTTATCTGCTACGATTTTATAATTGGATTAAAGTTGATTAGGTCAAATCTCACCTGAAATTAATGGTATCCCGTGCAGTTCATTCCCACTGTTTCCATTAGGGAGAGCCCAATGGGAAACAGTGTTGGGAAAATGGGAAGGATTCCCCATCACTTTTCTCAAATACGAACCCATTGATTCCCATTCGAAATTTCGGCAGAAAAATTCCACTTCGGCATATATGATATCGGTGAACAGTATCCAGTATGATAATATAATATATGAAAACCATCAAAATTCCCTTTGGATATCTTAAAATAAATCCCAGAGCAAAAACAAAATATCGACTATTAAAAATTCAATGTATTTATTTATACAAGAATCCAATTAATAAATTTTATACTATTCTTAATTCTCCCCTACCAAGTTGAGATACTCCTCAACTCTCGTTTCTGAATCATCGGAATTCGAACAACTGAATTCCGGCGACGTGATCGTAGAATTTCCAGCCAGACCTGTGAGACGATTTATCTTCTTTCTGTCATCCCCAGGAATATTGTGAAGCTTCTTTTCAAAAGTTAACCACTCAACAGTATTTGGCTTCAGGTCGAAAATTTCCGTTGTGTAATCTATAAAAAACAGTACATTTTCTTTTAGGTTTTTTCATGTTTTTTTTAACCATATAGATCAATAATATGATGAATATCAAGCTCACCCTTTAATGTTTTAAATCGGATAGGGTCGATACATCTTCGAACGTTGTTCCGAATTCAAAATAGCTTTCGTCCTCCCAACATACGACGGCGTGGGTCATGTCACCGCAGGTATATTTCAAAGAATAGAAAATTGACCAGAGCGAGTAATTTAGGCTGACCAAAGAGAAACTAAAAAAGCATGACGAGGAGTGAATTCCAAATATGCCGCTCAGTACGTATTTATCGGGGATGCTTGATATATTTCATGCCTTTTCGTCTAAATCCAATATGATTAATTCAGATGGGATATTGAGTTTTGTAATGCAAGTATGTTCCAATCAGATCCCGTTAACGTTAGCAATTCCATTGGGGACCTAGCAGTCATTTTCCTGTATACAAATTTCCAATTGGATTTTTTACATGAAATGCATATATGCATCACATCTTATTGGAAATATACTATAATCATAAGGGATCCGTAAGGATCCATCTACTGTTCAGATTCCCCAATGGATCCCAAGTCTCAGAAACGCACGGGATACTTTTAAAGTATGCCATTGATGAAATTTATCATTTCGCCCCTAATATTTCGCGAACAAATCTCCCGGGAAGTGCAAATGAACTAATTCAGTTTGTTCACGACGGGATTTAAAAAACCAAGAAAAGTGCAAATATTTTACACATTCTTTTTTAGAATTAGAATTGGTTAGGTCAACTGCGTGAATATTTACCAATCTTAAAGGGTAAGTCCTTATAGAACATTTGTTACTCATTCCAAAAATTTAAGATGCCTTATATGACTTATTAAGTAATAAAAAATATCAATCTGCAATCTGTAGAGCAAATTATTTCTTGGAATTTTTTTATAATTTCTTCTTCATCCAACAGTTTGACTTCCGCTGGAATGGAGAATGTCAATCGAGACGGAAGGACCGTGCAAGAGATGGCACTGAATAATCCGATCGTAAGTCTAACTAATTTGAAATTTAAATCTATTAAAAAATATTTTAAACAATATATTTCGCCCCTCTTTAGATTTTAACGGAAATATTCAAATTTACACCAACTCCCTTGAAAAGTTGTCGATTGGTTTGCTAATTTTGGAACGATATTGTCCTCACCCTTCCAAATACAAGACTTGCCTTAAAGCTGACCCGTCACAACGAAGTAGAAGATTCTGCTGAAACCGTCAAATTTGTCATGCTATGTTTCTCATTAGATGACCGACTTGCGAAACGGATTAGGGCCCCAAGACCCATGCTTTCCTTGGACTTGGAGCTGATGCACACTTGCGACAAATTCAGTGACCGGGTGCAAGTTTTGGACCTGTGTATATACGGTGAAAATTCCTTAAAACCTCTCTTTCAAGTTTTGCAGAATTGCTGCCCCAATTTAAAGCAATTACGAATCGAAGGCTCCTTCATCCAAGCCAAGGATCTGGATCTTTTTCCCCCCGGAGCAGAGCAAATTGTGCCAGTAAAACGAAATTTGACCTTGTTCACCCTCACCGGCTGGAATTTCGACGCTTCCCCCAGTTTCTCACGACTCTCACCAATTTCATTCAGCTCGTGGTGAACGCCTCGCCAAATTTAAGCGAGGTCACCATTCCGTGGGGATACTATCCAGATTTGTCAAATTCCACGTGTCTCGAATCCTTAACCATCGCACTGGATGAAAATGATCCAATTGAAATTGAGGACACCCACAACATTTCAAAACTGTCGGGAATGTTACATCAAGTCAATGACCGTCTAGTCAGCCTTTGTTGAAGACGATATTCTTCTAGCACCGTATGAGGACTACGATGTCGAATACTCGTCTCAAATCGGATTCCACTTGACGAGAAGGATGCCGAAATTACGCAAGTTTTGCAACCGTATCGTCGAAATGTTTCGGTGTGCCGATTTTCTACAGAATATTGAGATGATGCCCTTTCTGGGAACTTTGGTGATTGGAAGAGTACTCTTCGAGTTGACGGGGGTGGATGGAATTTTGCGAGGGATTTGTGTGGCAAAAATGATTTTGCCAAGTGTGACCAAGTTGGTGCTTATCGAACTGTACGATCCCGAGGTGTTGGACAGAGTGGAAACTGCTTTTCCGAACGTGGAAAGGTTGGTTCAGACGTATGGAGCCGGGTTATGGAGGAAAGATGACGATGTGGAGGTGGACGTCGTGCTGGACGCGTGTAGGGGTTGGGGTCGGTTAAAACATTTGAAGTTTACCTCGTGGAAACATCCTGTGCAGATGGGGGAGTTTTTCCAGGGGCTTTTACAAGGCAGGGAATTGTTTCAACGTGAGTAAAATTCAAACACTGTTTATAAAATTTGTAAAAGCATGTGCATGCATAGGTGCGCAGCTTCTATGCGCTTCCGACCAAAATTCTCGCTTCCGGTTCTTACCAAATCTCAGTGCTTCCAACTTCTGGAAGTCGGAAACTGCGCACCTATGGGCATGCATAAAATATTTATATGCTAATTTCTTTTATTTTCATACTTTTAACTTTTTCCTTAAATTTTAGGGCTCACAACGCTCGAAATTAAAGTGCCACGTTCTCAAACGATGAAACGAGATTTGACCGAGAATGAGATAGCTCTATTCAAGCAAGTGATTCTCGTGATGGATAAGATGGACCAGGTCAGGATTTCCGGACTTGGTGTGAGTGGAAAAATATGACTTAAAGTTAACTTAATTTTTAACTGCTTAATTAATTATTGAGATCGTGCGTAAATGTGTAAGGTTAACGTATTTTTTTATGAATTTTGTTTCCAGTTAACCACTTCGCCCCTATAACGACTATGTGGCGTATTTGACCTTTACGCCGAGTACGACCATGTGGCGTAAGTTCCCTTGGCACCGGAATACGACGATGTGTCGTATTGACCCTTGACAACGGATACGACTATGT